GGCTGTGTTGGGTCTTTGTTGCTGCATGCGGACTTTCTCTAGTTGCGTGGCTAGAGGGGGCTACTCTTCGTTGCATTGCGAGGACTTATTGCAGTGGCTTCTCTTGTTGTAGCGCACGGGCTCTAGGCACATGGGCTTCAGTAGTTGTGGCTCATGGGCTCTAGAGCGCAGGCTCAACAGTTGTGATGCGTGGGCTTAGTTGCTCTGTGGCACGTGAGATCTTCTCAGACCTGGGCTCGAACCCGTGTCCCCTGTGTCGGCAGGCGGATTCTCAACCATTGCGCCACCAGGGAAGTCCTCATCTCTTACTCTTTTTAAATTCATGCTTAAGTCCTGTGGGAGAGAATAGTTGTAAACAGCTTTAATTAAATTGTACTTATAAAAAACTATTTTCTTCTACTCCACTTTATGCTTTTGGTATTGTTGATCTTTAAAAATTAAATGGTCTTTGATAATGGGGGGGAAAAAGAGAATAGTCCTAACATCTGAAAAAGCTATTAAAATATTCCTCATTTTTCTTTTTCCAGCTACACATCAATCTGAGGCTGGATTTTCTTCATATACCTCAACCAAAACAATATACAGCAGCAGACTAAATGCTGAAGTGGATGTGAGAATCCAGCTACTTCTGGTAAGTCAGATATGAAGAGAGTTGCAAAAATGTAAACAAAGCAACTCTTCTCATTAACTCTTTTATTTTGGAAAATCTTATTTTTAAATTAATATATAAACATGTTTCAAATTTTCTGTCTTAACTTTTAATTCGGTAAATAGGGTTTTGTATAACCTATATAAACAAGAGCTCTTTTGAGTCCTCAACAACTTCTCAGAGTGTAAAGAGGTCCTAAAGCCAAAAAGTTGGAGAATTATCCTAGAGGAAAGCACTTGGAGCTCAACAAAAATGGGGGCCACATTATCCCACACAAGAAATCTAACATTTATACAATAATGCTATATAATGTATAGTCTGTATTAAATTGTCCCAAGATGTCCCAGTAATTCCTTTAAATTTGGGAAGGGGGGATTTCCCTGGTGGCGCAGTGGTTAAGAATCTGCCTGCTAATGCAGGGGACACAGGTTCGAGCCCTGGTCTGGGAAGATCTCACATGCCGTGGGGCAACTAAGCCCGTGCAACACAACTACTGAGCCTGCACTCTAGAGCCTGCAAGCCACAACTACTGAGCCCGCGTGCCACAACTGCTGAAGCCCACGTGCCCTAGAGCCCATGCTTCACAACAAGAAGCCACTGCAAGGAGAAGTCTGGGCTTTCTCTAGTTGTGGGGGACTCGCTGCAACTAGAGGAAGCCCATGCACAGCAACGAAGACTCAACGCAGCCAAAAATGAATAAATTTTTTTAAAAAACCAGGAATTAAAAAAAAAAAAAATTAGGGGAAGGGGGTCCGGGATCTAGAATCAAGGCTCAGGCATAGCATTTGGTTGTCATGTCTCATTAGCTTTTTTTTTTTAATTAATTAATTTATTTTTTATTTGGCTGCATTGGGTCTTGGTTGCAGCATGCAGGATCTTCGTTGCGGCATGTGGAATCTTTCATTGCTGCACGCGGGCTCAGTAGTTGCCACACGGGCTTAGTTGCCCTGCGCCATATGGGATCTTAGTTCCCCGACCAGGGATCAAACCTGTGTCCCCTGCATTGGAAGACAGATTCTTAACCACTGGACCACCAGGGAAGTCCCCCCTTTTTTAGTTTTCTACTGGATCAATGCAGACTTCTTTATTCTCCCTTAGCCCCTTCACTGGTTTAGAAATTATACATTCTATTTCTGCTCGTTTAGAAATTAAATTCTTAACTTGACTATACAGAGTTTAAAATTCATCATTGTCTTTATCTTTCTTAGAAATATGAGAAACTTAGATGACTTCTGTCCAATTTCTCCTCTCCTATCTTCCATGTTATTATTCCATCATACTTTAGTTCTACTGGGTCTTCTGAGCCCCCTCACTTTTTTTAAAATAGGTTTATCAACATGTTTTCCTGTTTCCTAGCTGAGCAACGTGTCTTACTTTCCACTCCTATGTGCTGAATTCAATTTCCTGTTAACTGAAGGGCATCATTGAATAGGTCTTTGAACAAAGATCTGTGAGTAATTAACTTTCTCTGTCTCAAATTGTTCAATTTTATCCTCATTTCGTAAGCTTTTTAGTGAAGTATAATATATACATATGTGTATACAGAGAGTACATAAGTTATTAGTGTACAACTTATTTTTATATAAATTTATTTATTTATTTTTGGCTGTGTTGAGTCTTCGTTGCTGCGTGCGGGCTTTCTCTTAACTGTGGCAGACGGGGGCTGCGCTTCGTTGCAGTGCACAGGCTTCTCACTGCAGTGGCGTCTCTTGTTGCGGAGCACGGGCTCTAGGCAGGCAGGCTTCAGTAGCTGTGGCTCACGGGCTCTAGAGTGCAGGCTCAGTAGTTGTGGCACACGGGTTTAGTTGCCCTGCGGCATGTGGGATCTTCCTGGACCAGGGCTTGAACCCGTGTCCCCTGCATTGGCGGGCGGATTCTTAACCACTGCGCCACCAGGGAAGTCCCTAGTGTACGACTTATGAATGTTGATGAAATCACTACCCAGATCAGGAAATGTAACATCACCAGGACCCCCAAGACCCTCCTTAAACCACCTCCTAGGCATTATGTTTCCCAACTTCCCTTTGCTATCTTAACTTCTACTAAAATAGACTGGTTTTGCCTATTTTTGTTTTCCTGTGAATGGAATCATATAGTATGTACTCTGTTGTGTCTTACTTCTTCTCAACACTGCATTTCTAAAATTCACCCAGGGACTTCCCTGGTGGTGCAGTGACTAAGAATCCACCTGCCAATGCAGGGGACATGGGTTCGAGCCCTGGTCCAGGAAGATCCCACATGCCGCAGAGCAGCTAAGCCCGTGCGCCACAAATACTGAGCCTACGCTCTAGAGACCACGAGCCACAACTACTGAGCCTGTGAGCCACAATTACTGAAGCCTGTGTACCTAGAGCCCGTGCTTCCCAGCAAGGAGAAGCTGCCTCAATGAGAAGCCTGTGCACCACAACGGAGAGTAGCCCCCGCTCACTGCAGCTAGAGAAAGGCCATGCGCAGCAACGAAGACCCAATGCAGCCAAAAATAAATAAAATAAATAAAAATATTTTTTAAAAATAAAATAAAGTTTTCAAAAATAAAAATAAAATTAATCCAGGGACTTCGCTGGTGGTCCAGTGGTTAAGAATCCTCCTTCCAATGCAGGGGACATGGGTTCAATCACCGGTCAGGGAACTAAGATCCCACATGCTGCAGGGCAACTAAGCCCTCACACTCTAGAGCCCGCGCACCACAACTAGAGAGCCCGAGTGCCACAACTACTGAGCCCACGCACTCTGGAGCCCATGCACCACAACTAGAGAGAAGCCCGTGCACTGCAAAAAAGATCCCGCGTGCTGCAACTAAGACCCGATGCAGCCAAATAAATAAATTAGTTAACTAAAAATAAACATATATTTTTTAAATAAAAAAAATCATCTATGTTTTTGCATGTAGCTGTAATTTATTAATTCTTCTGCCATATAAAACTCTATGTTATGAATATTCCACAATTTATGTATCCATTCTACTATTGACAGACATTTGGGTTGTTTCCAGTTTGGGGTTATTATTAACGATGCTTCTATGAAGGTTCTGACACTTGTCTTTTGCTGCACATATGTATGAAATTCTGTTGGATGATACTTAGGAGTGAATTACTGGGTCATAGGCTACATACTTAAGCATTCGGCTTTAACAGACACTGGCAAACAATTTTCTGAGTGTCTGTATTCTTCCAACAATGTATGAGAGCTTCAGTTTCTTTACATCTTTGCTAACAGTTGGCATTGTCATTCTTTTCAGTTTTAGTCATTCTTGTGGGTGTATAGTGGTTCTCATGGTGGTTTTTTGTTGTTGTTGTTGTTGCTGTTTGTTTTGTTTTTGCGGTACGCGGACCTCTCACCGCTGTGGCCTCTGCCGTTGCGGAGCACAGGCTCCGGACGCGCAGGCTCAGCGGCCATGGCTCACGGGACCCGGCGCTCCGCGGCATGTGGGATCTTCCCAGACCAGGGCACGAACCCGTTTCCCCTGCACCGGCAGGCGGACTCTCAACCACTGCACCACCAGGGAAGCCCCTCATGGTGGTTTTAAATTGCCTTTCCCGTGGTCTCTCGGGCGCAATTGGTCAGTTCATTAAACTGATAAATAGCATTTCCCTGGAGACTAAAGAAATTGAGCTCCTTTTCGTATACTTATTGCCCATTTTAATATTCTCTTTTCTGAAGTGCCTGCTTCAAGTTTTTGCTTATTTTTTCCATTGGATTGTCTGCCAGTTTGTGATCTGTAGGAGTTCAATATACATTCTGATATGAGTCCCCTTTTTGGGTATATGTATTGCAAAAGTTTGGTTTTTTCCCATTCAGTGGCTTGCCTTCTCATTCATTTAAAATGTATTTGGAGGGTTTCCCTGGTGGCGCAGTGTTTGAGAGTCCGCCTGCCGATGTAGGGGACACGGGTTTGTGCCCCAGTCCGGGAGGATCTCACATGCCGCGGAGCAGCTGGGCCCGTGAGCCATGGCCGCTGAGCCTGCGCGTCCAGAGTCTGTGCTCCGCAACGGGAGAGGCCACAGCAGTGAGAGGCCCGCGTACACACATACACACACACAAAAAGTATTTTGATGCACAGAAATTCTTAATTTTAATTTAGTCCAACTTATTGACCTTTTATGTTTATGTCTTATTTCCTGTTTGATAAATCTTTTCTTAACCCTATAGTATCTTCTGGAAGTTTTATTGTTTTATCTTTCACTTTTTTAAAAAGATTTATTTATTTATTTATTTGGTTTGCTGGGTCTTAGTTGTGGCAGATGGACTCCTTAGTTGTGGCATTTGAACTCATAGTTGTGGCATGCATGTGAGATCTAGTTCCCTGACCAGGGATTGAACCCGGGCCCCCTGCATTGGGAGCGCAGAGTTTTAACCACTATGTCACCAGGGAAGTCCCTGCCTTTCACTTTGATATCTATAATTTTCCTGAAATTGATTTAAAAAAATTTTTTTTACTTTTGGCTGTGTTGGGTCTTCGTTGCTGCATGCGGGCTTTCTCTAGTTGTGGTGAGCGGGGGCTACTCTTTGTTGTGGCGTGCGGGCTTCTCATTGTGGTGGCTTCTCTTGTGGTGGAGCACAGGCTCTAGGGCTCATGGCTTCAGTAGTTGTGGAATGCAGGCTCAGTAGTTGTGGCACACAGGCTTAGTTACTCCAGGCATGTGGATCTTCCCAGACCAGGGATCAAACCCGTGTCCCCTGCATTGGCAGGTGGATTCCCAACCACTGCACCACCAGGGAAGTCCTGAAATTGATTTTTGATGCACCCTATTTCAGATATGTTAAAATGTGAAAAACAGTATGTATCCAAGAATTGATAAAATTCAGTTATTTTTTAACCTCCGTTTTAAATTTAATACGTAACAGGCATTTTTCTCTACCATTAAATGTTCTTCTACAAGACTTTTTTTTTTTTTTTTGCGGTATGCGGGCCTCTCACTGTTGTGGCCTCTCCCGTTGCGGAGCACAGGCTCCGGACGTGCAGGCTCAGTGGCCATGGCTCA